TGTGATTCTGGAGCTTGTCTTAACATGATGACCAAGGCAATTGCTTTGAGACTTGGTATTAAACACCTGCGCAGGACTAGAGCAAAGATTAGTCTAGCTGATGATTCAAATGCAACAACTCAAGGAATAGCTCATGAAATTCCTTTGAGAATAGGAGATTGCATAGTGCATGTCGACTTCTACATTGTCGAAACGAGAGATGCAACATATCCAGTGATTCTCGGATGGTCTTTTCTAGCAACTTTCGGAGCTATAATGGACAGGCCAAACCGGAGGATTTCATTTGCTAATATCGACAAAGATGTCTTTACTGAAGCTGTCCCATACAACAGCAAAGCAAGAAAACGTTCTGCAACAGAAGAGTTTGAAGAAGAACTTTGGAGTGACGAAGAACCTGCTAGGCAAAGCAAGGAGATGTCGAAAAAGACTTGTCTTAGGACAAGGTCTTCTTCATTGGAATAAGCCACGTCCAACACCAAAAGTCGAGCTAAACGACTTAAAACAGAAGCGCTTAATGGGAGGCAACCCATTTAGCTATTGTTTTCTTTAGGATTTTTCTTTCTTTTTCTATTGATCTTTTTCTTTTTCTTAGTTTCAGGTGTTTCTTATAAAACAAAAAAGCCAAAAAAATCAAAAAACCTGAAAAAAACCAAAAAGAAGGATGGTCCCTGACTGCTCGGCCCAGCAGGAACCAAAAAGAAGCAGGAAGAGGCCGCGAAATAAGCTCCCGCGGTCGCAGACGTTCTGATCGCGGGAAACGCCCCTTCAACCGCGGTCGCGTGATTCTGACCGCATCCAAGCACCTGTTTACCGCGGTCGCGTGGCTCCTGACCGCGGCAAATGGTCGTTGAGATCAAACCCGACCCCAAACCACCCACCTCACCTCATTTCACCTCACCAATCCCCACTCCACCTCACCTCATTTCACCTCACCAATCCCCACTCCACCTCATTCATCACCCTCCACCACCTTAATCACCACCTATCACCTTCCCAAACCTCTTCTAATGAATCCGGTTCATCTCCACCAGTATCCCGGATCCAGGTAAGTTCTCTTTGGCCTTACCAATTCGATTATCTATGCATTTTTCTCATCCAATCTCGACTTGTTTCACACTGAGGACAGTGTGATTTAAGTCTGGGGGAGGATTTCATCCCTTTCTAACCACTTTTCTTTCATGAGTCTTGCATTATCTACACTTTTTGCATTTTCCTTAAACTTTTTCAAAATCGGTTTTCAAAACAAAATACGTTTTAAAAGGGAATGGTGAACATGAATCAATGATAGTTGACTGTGTGCTTTAGAGTGTTCCTAGTGACATGCTCATTCATGATTTAGGACTAGACTAGGCGGTAGCTAAGCACATTTGAAACAAAGTACCCTAGAGGAATTTGAATGATTTCGATTTAGATGAAGGTATACACTAGCTCTGTTTTATTTGGACTTAATCTGGACTTAATTTTCTCATTGAAGCTTTAGACCAGGGAAACGAATCATACATTCAGGACTCCTTTATCCTTTTACCACTCTCAATTGATCCTGAATGGCTAGTTCATCTTTAGCTAGTTCCCCACCTTAACCAATCCTCTTTCAAACCACATGCACTCTTGTTTTCTATTGTCTTATATGCAGATAAGTGCAAAAACGTTGGAGAGAAAAAGGAACGACGCAGTTTTCAGTCACTAAGGACAGAGACCTGCGATTTGCCGGAAAAGTTCCCGGAAGGATTCAACACAAGAGGAAGCTCAGTTTGCCTTAGAAAAATCTCAAATTTTGGTACAATCTTGTCCTCTAGTCTCTCTCTCTTTAAAAGGCATTTCCTTTTCAAATAAAAAAATTAAAAAAAAAAATCCTAAAATAAGAAAAGAAAGGAAATAAAAGCCTTAGAGAGTCTAGGGAGGTCGAATTCTAAGTCCCAAGGCAACTGGAGTTCGAATTTTATGGAGTTTTGGAGATCATTTTCTGATTCCCAGAAAGAATCTAAGTCTGGGGGAATAGCTGTTTACAACAAAGGAGGAAGGATTATGCAACAACATTTGGCAAGAAGAAGTGACTGAAAATTGTGGTCATCAACAGGTCCTTATCTCTCTTGCGGTTTTGCATATTATCTTGCATCCTCCAGATCTTCAGGTAAACTTTAACTCCACCACTTAAACAGCCCTTTAATGCCAAACGCCGTCTACCCTGGATGATGTCTTTAATGAGAACTCACTATTGAACTTAATGAATGTAGAGAGCTAGTTGACTGGAATCAAGATTTAGATTGTTTAAGTTTTGCATGACGGAAAAAGTGGACTAGTATCTCTTGTGCATTGGTGAGAATTTTCTAGGCTAAGTTGTGGATTGATGCACTATCTTTGGTCCTAGTTTAGGAGTTCATGTCTATGAGATTTGTGCATTCCCTATTTTTGTTTTCACTTAACCAGTTTAGGGTTTTGCTTTGTTTAAGGACAAACAAAGGTTTAAGTCTGGGGGAGTTGATAACACCGTATTTTGACCACTTTTATGGATCGGTTTGAAATACTTTTTCTATGTTTTTAATTGCTTTCAAGTACTTTTATTACGTTTTTCTAGTATTTGTAGTTCCAAGACTCTTTTCAGGTAACTTAGGGAAAAACTTAACAAAATGGATAGAAAACCAGACTTCAGCTCAGAGTCAAACTGTCAGAAGTTCACCCCAGATTGAAGGCCTTCTCACCGTCTGATCCAGCTCAAATTTGGAGACCTTAAAGATGGAAGTATCAGCTTTCCAGCACACTTTACAGCTTGACAATCCAACGGTTCAATCAAAAGATACGCGAAGAGCAAGATGTCCCGTAAACTAGCCGACAAGAGTTTCCACCCGCGGCCAACAAGCAATTTCTGGCAGTATCTTTCCGCTCAGTGCTCCAAATGCCTTTATTCAACCTGTCCTGGGTTTTTGACTCAATTATCTCCAACTTTTCTGAAGACCCTGTAAGCTGAATCGGCCGGGAAGAGCTTCCGGTGACGCGATTTCGGAAATGTATCTGCACCCGAGATTTTTGGCCGAGAGACTTGACCGCGGTACGTGTTTTTGGCCGAGAAAGCTACCCGCGGGAAGGATTTTGGCCGAGAATCTTCGGCCATCAGTACATCATTTTGCCGAGAAACCCAAAATTGCTCCTTTTCACCATTTTTGATAAGTTCAACTCCATTTCTTCATCTGAATCACATCCTCCACTCCAAATAAACTCCAAAAGCACCTCTTTAACACTCCAAAACATGCAAAACTCTCTTGGACCTAATGCAATCTCCTAAGTCCTAAAACAATGCCTAAAGACCTAAAATGAATGTAAATGAGACATGATTTGGACTAGAATATGTACATTAAATGATGCAATTTATGAATATATCAACTCCCCCACACTTATCCTTCGCTTGTCCTCAAGCAAAAGAACAAATGAGAGAGAGAGGTTGAATGCATTGGGAGCTCATTTTTCCTTTGAAAGAGAAAAGTGAACACTAAGAGAATTCAAGTTCATGCTCAATATGCAATGCAAGACCATACTCTGATGTATCAACTCAACAGTAATCTCCACAAGTTCTCTTATTCCTCAACTCTTTGACATTCATTAAGCTCTTTACCAAGTGGATCAAATGATGCAATGTTCAAACAAGCAAAGTTTGGCTAGGGTGAGGTAATGAGACTAAAATGGTCTCATCAGCGCCTGAGTGGGTTCAATGCAGCAAGGGGATCTCTCTATGAATGATCAAACTTTGGCAGAATGCTAAAGGTAAAAATCAACATATGCATACAAGGGCAAGGACTCATCCCACCCCACACTCTACTCAAAGCTTTCTCACTTGCTCAACCTCTCAAGAACCTCACTTTCCACACTCATTTTCCTCTCACTAGGGGACTCACTCATCATTTTCACACTGAAGTCTTGGAGTTCAAACTTTACATAGCTCCTTTTCACTTTCTTTTGTAACTTCTAGCCTCTTTTTCTTTGTTTTTAAAACATTTGAGCTCTTGGGCTTCTTTTCTTTTCTTTTCACTTAGAGGCTAGCCTTTTTCTTTTCAAAACACTAGAGCTCACTTTCTTTGACTCAAAACTCCAAGACTGATTTCTTTTCCTTTTCTATCCCCTAGTTCTCACCATTCTCCTTTTATTTCCACTCATCTCTCCTTTCCACTCACCAACAAGTATTCGCCCACACTTAGTTCTCACCAAATCTCTTAGCTCCTTGATGATGGAACTTAAACAGTCAATGAGACTTGCCCTTGTCGCTCTAAACCTAACACTTTCTGCTAAGTTTGATCCAAGGTGGCCTTTCAATCACACACAAACATTTGGCTTGAAAGAAGGATGGGTTCAGGGTGAGGAAAACTGATCCAGATGTGGACTCAGCTATTTGAGCTAAGGTGAGGGTGGTAAAAACAGGATTCTAGCTCAAATATGTATATAGGTATCCACAAACTTATTTAGACAATGCATCACAAGATAATTTCAAGCCAAGTTCAAGGTTTTCACTTATTTGAGATGAGTTCAATTCAAACTTGCTTCTCACATTCAAACCATTTCAAGCCTTGCAAGCACAGAAGTTATTTCACAAGCATATTTATTTCAAATTCTCAAAGTGATGTACTCTCAAGGAAAGAACCTATCATTACTCCCAGCAAGATGCAACCTATATGAAAATGCAAATTAGACTCAACCTAAAATGTGAATGCAACTACATGAGCATTTTTTTGTGAAAAGTTTTCAGATTTTTCCATTTTTTGGTTTTTATATGCACTTAGATGAATGCAAAATGAGACTCAAAGTGAAAAGGAAAATAAGAGGATGATAGAGATCATACTGAGAAAGAGAGGAATTCCGTACAGGTACAACTCTTATTTTTACGAAGTCAAAAAAATGCGATCTTTCTTGTCTAATAGAACAAACACTAAGACCTTAATTGAGTCAGTCAAAATCAAATCTGTTTATCAAAGCGCTTCTCCGATTGTGCAAAAGGGGAGTGAGTATCTGAACAACAGAAGATCATTTCATTCCATTTTTGCTAAAATAGTGAAGGAGATTCCAAAAAGGGTGGAGGGAATCCGTATATGTTTTTCCGGTCGATTAAAAGACGCAGCAGAAAAAGCTCAAACTAAATGCTATAAGCATAGAAAAACTTCTCGTAATGTATTTAACCAGAAAATCGATTATGCTCCTGCCGAAGTATCTACTCGTTACGGAATCTCAGGTGTCAAAGTGTGGATTTCATATAGTCAAAAAAAAGGGGGACGTGCTATATCCGAAACGTACGAAATATAGTAAATATCGTAAAGGCAGATGTAGTAGGGGTTGCAAACCGGATGGTACAAAACTGGGTTTTGGAAGATATGGCACTAAAAGTTGTAAAGCTGGTCGTCTTTCATATCGAGCCATTGAAGCAGCGCGTCGGGCTATAATCGGACACTTCCATCGTGCTATGAGCGGACAATTCCGAAGAAATGGTAAGATATGGGTAAGAGTTTTCGCGGATCTCCCTATTACCGGGAAACCTACAGAAGTAAGAATGGGAAGAGGAAAAGGAAATCCTACGGGTTGGATTGCTCGTGTGTCCACGGGACAAATCCCATTTGAAATGGATGGTGTGAGTTTGGCAAATGCTCGACAAGCCGCTACATTAGCGGCTCATAAACCATGTTCGTCAACCAAGTTTGTTCAGTGGTCGTAACGTAATTGGTTAATGGAGAAAGCGGGCCGAGAATCTTATGTCAAAAGGACCAAGGATGATCTTTTCGGAAAGGAGGAGTAGGAGGAGTCAGCTTATTCTATAGATACTGTAAAAGCCAACTCATGTTTCCACTCAATTTTCATTACGAAGATGTATCACGTCAAGATCCGTTGCTCAAACCGAATCACGCCAACGTTATGGAAGTTCCTGGATCGTGTGAAATAAGAGTAGTACCAAAGGCACCCTATAATTTCATAATCAAAAATGGAAAATTGGCTATGGAGATTCCGCGCGGTCAGAAATTCATACAGACACAAAGGGGTTCGGCAGGAAAGTCCTTTCGATCTAATCCATTCTTGGGGTCAAATAAAGACAAAGGATATGTAAGTGACCTAGCACGACAAAGCACTCTCCGAGGGCATGGAATGTCTAATTTTTCGGTCAGAATCTCGACAGTAATGTCTCTGTTAGATTTTCCGGTCGAAATACGGAAAAACTCCATTCAATTCTCGATGGAAACGGAGTTTTGCGAATTCTCCCCGGAACTGGAAGATCATTTCGAGATCTTCGAACATATTAGAGGGTTCAATGTGACTATTGTCACTTCGGCCAACACACAAGATGAGACTTTACCACCGTGGAGCGGCTTTTTGCAAAAAGATGAGGGGGAAACTCAGTAAGATGTCGGAGAAGCAAAATAGTAGAGATCACAAACGTAGATTGCTCGCGGCTAAATTTGAATTGAGACGAAAGCTTTATAAAGCCTTTTGTAAAGATCCCGATCTTTTTAGTGATATGCGGGACAAACATCGTTATAAGTTGTCCAAGTTGCCAATAAATAGTTCCTTTGCACGAGTAAGAAACCGATGGATTTCCACGGGTCGCCCTCGTTCTGTATCTGAGTTCTTTCGAATTTCTCGTATCGTTTTTCGTGGATTAGCATCTCGAGGTTCTTTGATGGGCATAAAGAAATCGTCTTGGTAGCAACCACCAAACCAATAGAACAAAGAAAGGTTAGCTCCGCAGCTGGTCCACAAGCAAGGTAAGTAAGTCCATTACCAGCCGGCTCCGGACCGAAAAGACCTAACAGAGTAATCCCTTATCTTGGATCGGAGATGCGAACGGGGCGGGAATCGAAGTGGGGGACCTCTCTACCGCTTGTGTCTATTTCCTGTCAAGTATGCTCCCCAGACATAGACTACGTACAGGTAGTACTCTTGGAAAGAAAGATATAATGCGTGAACATAACATTAAGTTACGAATGTAACTCCCGACCACTCTTCTAAATATACTAAGGCGGAGAACTCTTGTTCATTGGAGCGCCGTAGTGCGGAGGGATGAACCCATCATGGAAGTCCGAGTTGGGACTGAGCCTTCCGAATGATAATGCTTTGTTTCGTTGGAAAAACCAACGCAAATCTCATATTGACTTTCTATCGCCCTACTTCTAAGGATAGATAGAGAGAGTTACTTTATGAAATTATATCCCTTATAAAGCAGCGCAAGTCGGCCCCCCCAGAACAAAGCCCCTACTCCCGAGAGGCACGGAGTGACTCGACTAAAAGGAGAGGTCCAAATGGACTTCCGTGAATTACAGTGATCCAGTCTCACGGATATGGAGCCTCGCCGGAGATGGCAGGGCAAAACCTGATGGACCTTATTTTTTTTCTCAAGAGGTGATTTCGAGAATCAACCAACCGACGAGACGAATTCGAGGATGTGTTAAAAGAAAGTCTAATCGCCAAGGCAAGTCCCATGGATAAGCCCAGCCTCCCTCTCGTTTCACTCTCGAGGAACGCCTTTTCAGTCGAGTTGCTAAAGCACCTCTCCTTACAGTCGAGCTTCTTTGTTCCTTCGGGCCTCTCGCCCAAATGAAATGGGATGAATCCAATCAATAAGCTTATTGATTGATTAAGAGCGCAGCGAAGCCAAATTCAATCAAGGCAAAGGGGGGCTTACTTTTCCTGACGCTGAGTCATCCTATTCAAATTTAGCTATGCTAATGTAACAGGAAAAGTTTTCAGATGATATGGATCCCAAGAGATGAGCGAGAACCTCCAATTGCTTAAGGATCGCACTCCGCTGTCCCGCTTGGTGGACGAGATCTTCTCTCGGGTCATCCTGGGTTACTGAAGGGTTGTCCGACTGCTCGGTGACCGAATCAGAGAAGTTTTGACCGCTTTCTCTTCTCTACAGCACTCTCGGACTGATCATCCAATCCATCTTGCTGCGACAAAGCAAGCTTAGGAATGAATCTAAGAAATTTAGGTCTCTGCCCCGCTTGAAAGATTCTTCTTTCCTCTTCGGTGAAAGAGGGCAAAGGTGTGTAGGAGAAAGAATTCTAAAAACGTCGACGCTTAATTCGCCCCCGAGGAACGCCTTCAAAAGTCAAAGAAAGGCTCAAATATCAATATATATATTTGAGGATATTTTAGGGCCCTAGAACGCAAAAAAAGGTGGGTGAACAAGAGTTGTCACGATAGGAAAGAGAAATGACTATAAGGAACCAACGATTCTCTCTTCTTAAACAACCTATATCCTCCACACTTAATCAGCATTTAGTAGATTATCCAACCCCGAGCAATCTTAGTTATTGGTGGGGGTTCGGTCCGTTAGCTGGTATTTGTTTAGTCATTCAGATAGTGACTGGCGTTTTTTTAGCTATGCATTACACACCTCATGTGGATTTAGCTTTCAACAGCGTAGAACACATTATGAGAGATGTTGAAGGGGGCTGGTTGCTCCGTTATATGCATGCTAATGGGGCAAGTATGTTTCTTATTGTGGTTTACCTTCATATTTTTCGTGGTCTATATCATGCGAGTTATAGCAGTCCTAGGGAATTTGTTTGGTGTCTTGGAGTTGTAATCTTCCTATTAATGATTGTGACAGCTTTTATAGGATATGTACTACCTTGGGGTCAGATGAGCTTTTGGGGAGCTACAGTAATTACAAGCTTAGCTAGCGCCATACCTGTAGTAGGAGATACCATAGTGACTTGGCTTTGGGGTGGTTTCTCCGTGGACAATGCCACCTTAAATCGTTTTTTTAGTCTTCATCATTTACTCCCCTTTATTTTAGTAGGCGCCAGTCTTCTTCATCTGGCCGCATTGCATCAATATGGATCAAATAATCCATTGGGTGTACATTCTGAGATGGATAAAATAGCTTTTTACCCTTATTTTTATGTCAAGGATCTAGTCGGTTGGGTAGCTTTTGCTATCTTTTTTTCTATTTGGATTTTTTATGCTCCTAATGTTTTGGGACATCCCGACAATTATATACCTGCTAATCCGATGTCCACCCCGCCTCATATTGTGCCGGAATGGTATTTCCTACCGATCCATGCCATTCTTCGTAGTATACCTGACAAAGCGGGAGGTGTAGCCGCAATAGCACCAGTTTTTATATGTCTCTTGGCTTTACCTTTTTTTAAAAGTATGTATGTGCGTAGTTCAAGTTTTCGACCGATTCACCAAGGAATGTTTTGGTTGCTTTTGGCGGATTGCTTACTACTAGGTTGGATCGGATGTCAACCTGTGGAAGCACCATTTGTTACTATTGGACAAATTTCTCCTTTGGTTTTCTTCTTGTTCTTTGCCATAACGCCCATTCTGGGACGAGTTGGAAGAGGAATTCCTAATTCTTACACGGATGAGACTGATCACACCTGATTAGTGAAAAATTCTGACACCAATCATTTACATATTACACCAAGAATTGACAAGCGGATAAGTTTTCTAGTTTGCTATGTTGATATAGCTTAGATAGGGAAAAAATAACTCCACTATAGGGTAGGGCTGTACTTCAAAAATCAAAAAGGGTCCCTCTCCCCCTTTTTTTATTCAAAAATCAAAAAAGAGGCCCCGCCCCCCAAGGCCTAAGGGGCCCCTCTCTGATAAGGAAAGAAACGAAATATAGAACTAACTACCTTTACTGCAAGAATATAAATGACTCGCTATTCACTCGAGGTTTCTGGGTCATAATGTAGGAGAGATGGCCGAGTGGTTTAAGGCGTAGCATTGGAACTGCTATGTAGGCTTTTGTTTACCGGGGGTTCGAATCCCTCTCTTTCCGTACCTTTACTTACCGACCAAATACCAAGACTACTTACAACAGGTGAGGATCAGCACACTGCGGGAATCTAAGGAATTGATTGCTGTGCATCGACCAATCTGAGAAAGGGAACTATAAGGTGAAGATGCACCGAGGGATTTATGAAGACGCATGGTATGCTGTGGAGAAAGGGTGAAAGGAGTAGAAGCGGCAGGGCAAGAAAAGGATAGTGATAAATGGACAGACGCTGAGAAGAAGAAGTCGAAAGTATAACAGCAAAGCACTGTCAGCAATCGCAAGTGACACATTCAAGGGTGAATCAGCCAAAGATGCTTGGGATATCCTACAGAAGGGTTGACAAGTGTAAAGAGATCTCGTATTGATATGCTGCTGGCTTCACGGAGGAAAGAGAGACCATTGAACAATTCATCTGTGCTTTGCCAATGCTGCTCAAAATGAAAGACAAAGACAAAAGTCAAAAAGCTTCTGTTTTGTAGCACACTCCCGGCGAAGCAGCCCTTCGCAAGCCATGAATGACACAGATACCCTTGCGTTTGATGTTGTTGTAGGTCACCTACAAGCGTATGAAATGGAGACTGAGAAGTCCGAGAAAAAGCATTGCTGCAGCACACACTAAGACAACAAGAGAGATATTGAAGATTCAATCGGCAGCACACTGCTTGCTAGAAACTTTGGCAAAGTAGTAAAGAAGAATGGACAAAGTAGGAAAAACCCTTTTACACAGAACACAACAACAAATCGTGATCGTGTGTCAAAGAAGGGAGAACAACAGTGTAGGGATATGGCAAAGCTGAGCACTGCCCTTTTTTAGAGAAGAGACTTCAAATGTTTTTAATGCAAAGGTTGCTTCGCTAGGGGCACACAAAAGCTGAATGTGTGAATACTCCCTTATTGGTTTGCTTGGAGCGAGAGCGAAACAGACGAGGATGATGATGCAGAGGAAGTCTCTGGATTCGTAGCATTTGTGATAAAGATGAGACGCTTCATTCGGACAATTGCTTTGCTAGTGAAACAAATTTGCTGCTTTACTCAAGCCCACACCCTCAAGGGGTTACTTCGTCACCTCCGTCAAACCCGCGTCAAAGCCCCTCGTCAAAGACCTACGTCAAAGTAGGTTGCTTCGCTAGGGTTGCTTCGCCACCTCCGTCAAACCTCCGTCAAAGGAGGCTGCAGGAGGCTACGGGGCTGCGGGAGGCTGCAGGGGCTACTTCGCTGGGAGTGTGCGCTTGTGCTGAAGAAAGAAAGCAGGTCCAGGTTCAAAGCGTAAAACGGTGAAACCAAAGGCTCCTTCAACTCGAAGAAAAAGCAGGAACAGAAAGAACTTGACTTCCTGGTGAAGCAATTTTCAGGATAGAATTCTGCCAGCTTAGGAATCTGAACATAAGCAGTAGAGCGAGGACATAGATTACTCTGGTCATGCCACCCCAGCAATTCCAAGAATTAATGCAAGCAAAGCATAGGAGTGTGATTTGTCGTTTACCTTCTTTTGCTCTTAGGAATAAAGGTAAAAAGAAAAGCAGTGTGCTGGACAGCACCTTTCCTACGTTTGAAAACGAATTGCCGGTACTCCACTTAGACTTCTGCACCTGACCTAGTGGCTGAAGAAGGATCTCCCTCAAGTGATTTGCTGCTTCCTCCCCGACGTAGGTTTGACGGAGGTATCAGTCTCGTTGCTAAAGCACCTTCGGACCTCTTTTTTCGTCTATTCTTTGGTTAAAGCGAAAAATCTTTCTTTTCATTTTGGATCATTCAGTAGCTCAGACTGGAACTTGAGAGCTAGAACCTTTTTTCCTTAATTTCTTCCGTTGCCGTATCTTGCATATATAAGATCGAGATATCTCTAGTATTCATAATCCAGGATTTCGCCATACTCTTACACCTTACCCAGATCTTATAACTTATAATAAGATCATCTAGGCTAGGACGAGGCAGACTACCATCAATAAAAGAGCGCTTCAGTCAACATATACAAAGTCCAGCATAGTTAGATCCATTAAGAGTTGAGCCAGACCCGGATGATCACCGAAGATAATAAGGGCTAGAAACATTATCTGGTGAATCTGAGACAACGAAGCTGCGATCGGCAACACAAACCATTGGAGTGTGCTGGGGAGGATCTGAGCTGTAGAAAACCTTGATCCACTAGGTAAGGTTACTTCCAGAGCGGAGTATGCTCAGGTGAAACTGGTGGTGATGCCGATCTCTTCTTTCTCGATTTCTAGTTCCGTTTCGCCATTGTTGAGGAAGAAAAGTGATCCGAGACTCAACAAATCGAAGAGAAAAGGAAAACTTTGTTGATTCAGGAACTGTGAAACGGAAAGTCTCACCAGAAAGTCATTGCACTCTCTTTGAAGAGGGTCTTCCCTTTGTAAGCAAAGGTAATAAATGCTCAATGAGGAAAGATTATGAATTTCTTCTTTCATTTCGGCTTAACATCTCTTAATAATTGTTTCCCTGTTTTTAATACAAAATTTGAGGTGAAGCCTTCTCTAATGCTACGTGTCTTCATCTTAGCAGATCTCTAAAGCTTGGAGCGTATGGTAACGGTTAGAAGTGGGATTTGAGCCGCTGTACTGTGGCAGAGAATGACGTCGCTGTACGTTCATGGCTTCAGCTCTGGTTTTGTTTTAAGTGATAAATAAGACAGAGGAGACTTTGGGCTTCGGTTTGTAGACAAAACTCGTCTTGGGCTTATGTCTTGTAGTCATAGGAGAGCTGAGCCTTGTGTTGGCCCAGTTTTGGTTCATTTAGTGAAACAGTGTCGTTTTGAGTTGTAACCGGAAATATCTCCTTCTTCCTTTGACTGTCGATCTCGGTGTGGGTGGCTTAACGAGATGTTAGGGCTAATGTTGGTATGTAGTGATGTGCTGTTGAAGGTAGATACACTTTATACCTTCTTCCTGAAGCAGACGAAGCGAGCTGGAACGTACAAGGAAAGAGAAGATGCCTCCTAATCTACTTATGGATGTCAGAGTTGATGGTCGAGCATAGGTCCATTAGCGGATGGAAAGAAGATTCTGCTTAGCGACACTGCAGAGTCAGATCGGCCCCTACTAATGAGAAGGCCTTGAAGGAAGTGAAGATTGAGGCTTTCAGGGTTTAGTTAAGACTTTGCCGGTGACTCTTTTCCTCTCCCTTCGTAAAAAGAAAACTCTTCCATACTAAGATTAATGAGATTTTCCGGTATACTTCCCAGTCGACTATGTGAACAGCACAAAGCAAAGTTTTACCCTTTAGTGTCCAATGATATCAATGGTATCTTTCTGTTTGTTACCAAACAGGAGGGAAGCTTTATGGTTTCGTAGGTTTTCTTCTACTTTTTCTTCTACTTTAGGGTTTGATAGAATCGTCCGCTATTACAGACTTTGATTATCTGTGGGGCAGTGCGTTAGACGAAGGAAGTAGCATCTAATCTAAGGAAGATGAAGACCGGATATTAAAAGGAATATTTTACAAAGCAGAAGCATTACAAGCATACATAAAATAGGAAGCCTACACACACCGTAGACCAGCCACACACCATTAAAAAGGAAACTAAGAACATAGTACATAAACCAAAGACATAGAGCAAGCATACAAGACTTTGGGTCGACGGACTCCTTATTTTAAATTATAGCGATATAGGAAGTTGGCGGACTCTTTTCTTTTTTTAGTTTCCCGGGGGGTCGCGGTTGAAAGCTAGAGCTACTCGACTCGCACCGCTCACAATTAACGCTTCCTTCGCCCTTAGGAGACCAGAAATCCTTTGTTCGAGACGGCGAATGCGGTTTCGTAACTCTTGCATTTGCTGGCCTACGAGCTCCGGGTACAAAGCTGGAGGGTGCTGCAAAAGTCGGCCGAGGGCATGCTCAGAATCTCGCTTTTCCTCCTCCAGCTCTTGAAGTCGGTCTTCAATGGTTTCGAGATTAGCTGCAATCATATCCAGATCCATCTTTCTTGTCGATGCCAAATACAGACTACAAGAAGCCCTCCTAAGTAAATACTCTTTATGAAATCTTGCTATGAAGGCTGGTGAGAATGCAACTACTGTAGCTGGTGATGCCCTTCCTGATTAAATGATATATCCCTAGTCTTCCACCGCCCGGTAAAAGAAGTGAGTTGAATTAGGTTGTTGATTTTCCGATGAAAGGAAAGAAAGAAAAAAGAAAGCAAGCATACATTCCTAAACTACTGATCTATCTCTTTATGAGTAGAATCTATTGGATGCCCGTTTACGATGCAACTATCGAAAGCCATTTGCACCAGGTTTATAAAGACTGGTTCGAAAGGACCAGGCGCACTGCGCTTTCCCTTGCCCAGATGTTCGCCTTTCTAAGCTAATAAAAGTAATGGTGACCCGCCTAAGACTGGAGCCTCGTAACATGTTGGCGAAGAGCTTCTAACTGAGGGTTCGATCAGCATCAACTAGTTAATGCTCGTTGAGACCTCTTCTCTTTTCCGCACCAATCTTAATTGACTACTACATCTTTATTTGGGTGTATAGCTCAGTTGGTAGAGCATTGGGCTTTTAACCTAATGGTCGCAGGTTCAAGTCCTGCTATACCCAAACCTACCTTACCACTATATAGTAAAGATGCGTAGTAGCGTTCTAAGATCATTGAGGGGAAGGTTGGTCATAAATTTGGAGAGTACACGGAAACTCAGACTTTCGAGAACAAATATTGGACCGGGAAGAAAAAAGGGACAGAAATCCATAAAGTCAAAAAATATGGCACGAAAAGGAAATCCGATTTCGGTAAGACTTGGAAAAAATCGTAGTTCAGATTCAAGTCGGTTCAGTGAGGGCGACCGCGAAAGTCACCGAATGGGTAAGTCTTTTCCTTCAGTTTATCCTATATTTTCAAAAAAGCGTGGGAGGACGTTGCAGATGTCCGGGACGGACACGACTTCTTCTAACGCTAGAAGACCACTGGAAAACACCCGGAACCAGAGCATGTCGTGAAAGAAGCACACTGGATGGGCGTGCTTCGACCGTGTCTCCGGGGCACAGTTGAATGTAGATATCATTAACGCGAGGTGTAGGATACCAGGCCGAGAAACCCAGGCAACCCAACCCCCCCCTATGCGCCGATCGCTAGCGCATCCAGGTCCCCGGCGCCCAGCTCTGCGGGGGAGGCCTAGTCTGATCTGAGAAGTGCTAATTCGGTTCGGATAGACTTCAAAAAAGAACGCCGCCGCCCAATAAGAAAAATCAAACAAGTGCTAAGTTTCAGATAGTGAATAAACCGAAACGAAAGAAGAGAGGTTTCTCGCTCGGCGCCTAAAGCGCACTATGCTCCGTTTTAACAAATGAGAGTTTTCGGTGGAACCGGTGAACCACGCGAGCTGGTTAGATGTGTGGGACAGAGGGCTCGTAGTACCTGTTAGCGCAGCTATGCAGTGGAAGGGAAGGAGCCTATAAATCGACCCCTTCCTTCTTTTTTTTCTTTGAAAAAAAGCAGTACAAAGAGATTAGACTCTCGGATGAGACTAAGCAGCCACCGACCGTTCCGACGCACCCCTGACCGATTTTGATTAAGACCGAAAACCTATCTAAAATGAAGCCTAGTTTAAGCTGTCAAACAAATGATAGAATTGAAATTCTAGAAAATATCCCGGGAAGAAATATAGATAGAGTTTTGCTCAATAAAGGGAAGATTCGTAGAAAAGGATAAGTTGTTTCGCTAAGGCTGCAATCTTTCTAAAGAAACAAGCGAGAAACTTGACTTTGAGAAAAACAAAGGCGCGTTTCCTGTCAAATGACAACTGCCTCTTCCTGTTGCGAGGGCCTTGCACGAAACCAAACCGCCCCCCGCCCCAATCAAGTACCAGTTGCTTCGCAGCGCGGGTAGCCTACTTAGGTTAGGAGGAAGAACCCCTACCCCTCAGTTCTTACTAACCTCCGGTGTGTAATCAACATGTTGCTAGCTTCAACTCGGTTGAATAAGAATCATTGATTCTCTCTCCTGTCCATTTCTTATTCATTCAGGGCACTCGGCCGGTGCTCCTTTCTCACTTGTCTTGGACCAACTCACAGACTTTGGGACATAGATACCTCGGCCTTTCTTCTTTTTGGTGCGGCCTGGTATCCTTGCTCCCAGCCAGCACGCCCAACTCGGAGTGTATTGCGGATCATCGTGCGACTTAGTCCATTGCTTACTGAGCCGCACTCCCAGGTCGCAGACTTTGGGACTTAAACTCCTTAGGCTTCTTCTTGATCTTATGCGGCCTGGTCCCTTTTGTTTCTTTCTCGCACGCCCAGGCCAGTGTGAATTACGAGTCTTCCTGCGGCCTGGGCTCTTTGACACCAGCTAGCACAACCAACTCGCAGGACTCAGCACTTAGTCACCTTGGCCTTTCCTCTCTTTTGTGCGGCCTGATCCTCTTGCACCAGGTAGCACGACCAACTCGGTGTAGATGCGGGTCCTGCTGCGAGTTAGTCTTTTCTTTATCCAAGCCGCACACCCAGGTAGCACTCAGGCGTCCTCCAAGTATTCCAAACTTTAAACACTTCTATCAGCCCTCTCACATGCTCCATTTCATTTATCATTGGGCTATGTCCTCCAAAAATCACCTAGAACCTGACACCAACTCACAAAACCCATCAAAAGATCCTAAAACATAAAAAGAAAAGAGAGAAAAGATTAAAAAGATTATATACAAGGATAAGATTGGGGTGTCTCCCAAGAGCACTTTGTTTAAAGTCACTAAGTTTGACTTCTTACACTCTTTTTAGTAAGGGAGAGGAGGAGCTTTGATGCTCCAGGTCTTGTCCATGAATTCAAGCATGAGGTCCTTATTCATCAGCTCTTGGACACCATCATATCCTTTGTCTATGAACTCTGGTGTGAGGATAGCTCTGACTTTGGCAAATGGTCTTGATCTTCCATTGCCTTTAACCTTGTATTCAACAGCTCCACCAACAAACTTCCAAGGAGTGAGAGTTAAGACTTGAGAAGAGGACCCAAGAGTGAATGATTTGGTGCTTGTTGGGTTCTTGTCTTGAGACCCTGAACCATTGCTTTTGTTGCTGCTGACCTCCTTCTCACTTGGTGTAGGAGAAAAAGATTCCAAGCCAACTTCATCATCACTAAAGAAATCTCCTTCAAACTCAAGATCAGGTCTTACTAAGGATTCTTTCTTCTTCTCAACAGATGCAAGGGGTTGAGCTTCTTGTATAGTTCCAATACTCCCCACATACTTCATCTCATAGTGTTTCAACTCATCAGAATCATCAGATATAACTCCACAAAACCCAGCAAGAGGAGGCTTAAAAGGATAAGATACTTCATCATCTACCTTAGCAAGCACCACTCTTTGAGTATCAAAGTCCATCCTTGCTCCTGTGGTGTTCAGAAATAGAGTTCCAAGCAAAAGAGGTAGCTCTTTTGTCTTCTTCATCTTCATAACTACAAAATCTGTTGGAACTGTGCATTCACCAATTTTCAATGGGTAGTCTTCAAGGATTCCATATGGTTTCTATGAGGATGAATCTCCAAAGGTGATTGACATGGGGTGATGCTTAAGACTCTTGATACCTAGTCTCTCCACCATGTCTAAAGACATTACACTGATGCTTGATCCAGAATCACACAAAGCATTGTCCACTTTCAAATTTCCAAGAGAGCATGAGATGGAGATCTTTCCTGGGTTGCCTAGCTTGGGAATAGATTTGGGTTTCACCCTTGTTGAGCCAGTGCTAGAGACTCCATCAGATGTCCTTCCTTGAACCATTCTCTGATCCTTTCCTTCAGCAATCTCAGAATCATTCTTTTTTATATCAAAACAAGCTGCCTCCCCACCTTCTTTCTCAATGTCCTCATTGAGATCACAGAACATGAATTCAAACTCCTCTATGATGGCGTCCTCATCATCTTGTGTTAGGCACTTTGCACTTGAGACATTGCCATGGAGAAGATCCTCAATTTCTTTAACAGCAGCATGATTCTCATCATTTGAGAGGATGGCATTGCAGTATTTTGTTAGATGTGCTACTGATGTCCCTGGTAAAGATCTTTGAGCTTGAGAACTGCAGTGGCCCTTGTTGTTCTCTAGAGTCTTGACTTTGGAAGCCAAGGTTGAAAGCTGAGATAGAAGATCAGAATAACTGCAATCCACCTTGTTGTTAATCTCTGCCATTTTCTTGTTAAAGTCCATGGCACCACTTGCTTGACCTTTGGGGATTTCCTGGAGCAGGTTCTGCAATTCTTGATCCTTATTCTCTGAGTTCTGTTGGAGACTTTGTTGTTGGGGAGGGACAAAACCTTGTTGTTGAGTGTTTTGAGGATAGAAGTTCTGGTTTGGGGGATTCTTGTAGTAGGTAAAGCCCTTTTGGTAACCTTGTTGGCCACCTACAAAGTTCACCTCAGTTGTGATGTCTTCCCTTTGAAATGTGTCTTGAAACACATGATTCACATCTCTAACAAAGTTGGCTGACTGATGAGAAGCTAAGAGAAGTGTGTCTAGCTTCTCATTGAGAGACTTGATGTCTTTCCTTGTCCTTTCCTCTTCAGCACTCACAGCTCCTCTTGAATTCCTTTCAAAGTC